GGCCACCGCATGCGGGCAGCACTGCTCCCTGGCTGCAGCTCCCTGGGCTGCGCATCGCACCCTGAGCCCTCTGGGCACCTCTGCTGCTGACGCCAGGCAGTGCCGGCACATCCCTGGGGGCTCCTCCCAGGCTGGTGTCCAGCGTCACACCTGCTGGGCGGTCACCCGTGGAGCCAGAATGTCCTCATTCATTTCCTTTTCTCCTTCCACACTCGGCTCCCACCATAAAGCTCTCCTGGTTTTTTTTTTATTATATTTCTGTATATTCTTATCAGTGAATACTCTGATAATGAAATTAAGAAAAATAATCTCATTCACTATAATATCAAAAAAGAATAAAATACTTTGAAATAAATTTAACAAAAAGGGACTTGTGCACTGAAAACTACTAATCACTGCTTAGATAATTTAAAGATGTAAATAAATGGAAAGACATATTATGTTCATGGATTGGAAGAATCAATTACTGTTAAGACTCTTCCAAATTTATCTACAGACTAGAGTGCACAACATCATGCACTTGGTGGGGGGAGGGGTCCCTCAGTCCAGGCTGCACTCCCTTGTAGTCCAGGAGCCCTCATTGGATGTCCGACTGACAGCTTAGGCCAGCAGTCGGACATCCTTAGTACTGCTGCCACCCCTGCACTAGTCAGCCATGAGACTGGCTCAGGGCTTCTGGCTGAGGGGCACTCCCCCTGTGAGAGTGCACTGGCCACCAGGTCAGCTCCTGCGTTGAGCGTCTACCCCCCGGTGATCAGTGCGCATCATAGCTACCAGTTGTTCCGCCATTTGGTTGATTTGCATATTAGCCTTTTATTATTAGGATTCAAGTCAATCCCTATCAAAATTCCAACTGCCTTTTTTGCAGAAATTGACAGGCTAATCCTAAAATATAGATAGAATTGCAAAGGACCCCCATAGACAAAAGAATCTTGAAAAAAAGAACAAACTCCAATGATGTGGATGTAGAGAAGCTTTTGTTCTCTGGATATAGGCCACACTTTTTTTCTTTTTCTTTTTTTAAAATATATTTTATTGATTTTTTACAGAGAGGAAGGGAGAGGGATAGAGAGTTAGAAACATCGATGAGAGAGAAGCATCAACCAGCTGCCTCCTGCACACCCCCGACTGGGGATGTGCCCGCAACCAATGTACATGCCCTTGACTGGAATCGAACCCAGGACCCTTTAGCCCGCAGGCCGACGCTCTATCCACTGAGCCAAACCGGTCAGGGCCACACTTTTTTTCTTGATCCTGGTTGTCTTAGGACTTGATCTAGCTCATTTATACTTTCAGATTATATTTAAGAATCAAGCAAGCCGACCATATAACATCTTCCCTCATGGAATCACTGATGTCAGGCCTTTGCATGAAGGGAGATGGCCAAAAGGTAAGTGTTAACTCAGTTTTATAGTTCTTACTTACCTGTAGGTACAGATGAGGTCACAGTCTCAATAACAACTAAAATTGTGCTGGGCCTGCCCCAGCTGTTATGCACCATATAGGCACATTTATCACCCACAATCCTTTATGCTACAATTTCCAGATGTCTTTCACTTATGTACTTTATAATGCTCACAAGAAAGTGCTATAATTGTTGCTTTAAACACACATATGTAGTTTTAGAAAATTATGGGGGTGCCCAACGGCATTGCTCAGTGGTTAAGCATCGACCCATGAACCTGGAGGTCATGGTTCGAATGGGCTCAATCCCCAGAGTGGGACATGCTGAATGCAGTTGATCGATGATTCTCCCTCATCATTGATGTTTCTATCTCTCTCTCCCTCTTCCTTCCTCTCTGAAATCAGTAAAAATATATTTTTTAAAAATTGTATGAATCTTAAACTTGTAATAGGTGCAAATTTAGTTTCCATTTATTGAAAAACATATGTACATCTAGATGTGTAGAGCTCGTGCAATAGCAACATGATTACCAATATGTGGCTTGTTATATTCTAATCAAGCTATTCTGGGGTTTGGATGTGGGTAGGTGTGAAACATCTGAAAGATATGCCAATTCTGCCAGGAAATATATTCAAGTACAGATGGACAGTGACTGTAGAAGATGGGCCAACTAAATCAGATCCTCGGTGCCTGACGCGATATTATTCAAGCTTCGTTAATCAAGAGAGAGATCTGGCTTCAGGGCTCATTGGCCCTCTCCTCATCTGCTACAAAGAATCTGTAGATCAAAGTGGAAACCAGGTGAATTCTTCTCTTTCCAAGGGCTTATTTGAAGCTAAAAATGACATGATGTATAGGAACTTCCACATAAGATTTCCTATACTCCCTCGGTGTATGTCTCCCGGTAGAATGCAGACAGTATAGTCATCTGCGATATTGGCCAGTAAAAGAAATGCATTGGGTCTCTCACAGGTGTTAATTGATTTTAAGTTTGGTGTAATAATCTTGCCTGCTGGATAAATAGGAGACCTGGGCCCTATTATTTCTCCAATACTCATACCCAGTCTAAAATTCCACTCCTTGTAGGTGATCTTGACCCTTCTAATATGCTCAATTATCACCTATTTTTATTTTTATTTTTTAAAAAATATTTTTATTGATTTCAGAGAGGAAGGGAGAGGGAGAGAGAAATAGAAACATCAGTGATGAGAGAGAATCATTAATTGGCTTCCCCCTGCACACCACTGGGGATCGAGCCTGCAAGCCGGGCATGTGCCCTTGACTGAAATCTAACCAGGGACCCTTCAGTCCACAGGCCAACGCTCTATCCATGGAGCCAAACCGGCTTAGGGCAATTATCGCCTATTTTTTGATGACACACAAATCTTATCACAGCCTAGACTTCTCTAGAGTTCAATAAATATTTGCTGAGCAAAATACAGGGAAAGATATAAAATATTTCAGAATATGACTAGAATTTGGACCACTTCTGCTACTTTAAAAAATAAAGTTTAATTCTCTGAATAAGAAAACTTACTTCACAAAAACTCATGGCCATGTTGCTGAGGCTTGACTATATGTCCATTTGGTTATGATACATAAGATTCCTACTAATCTGAAAACACTTCATTGGTTTGGAGACTAAAGCACATGAATTTTAATGCAAAAAAAAAATGTGGCACACAAACCCAGAGGCATCAATTTGGCCAAGTACCTGTCTTGACAAATTTTTCCTAATTATGGTTTCTCCACTATTTGGGGGGAAGAGGACTAAAAGGTACGTCTATATACTTCAATCTCTTCCCCTCAGCCTTTTGTCTTGTGTAGCAGATTATGCAAAATGAAATTGATACATATTAGTGAAGTTTACACATTAAATTTTAGAAGATTCAGTTAACAAGTGACTAACTCATAACTTTGGTTCTTATACAAATTGATTTTCTGAAAAACACTTAAAATTTTTTCAACAGAAAACTTAAGGTATTAATAATAGTTAACATTTTGCAGTTCATCTGAGCTTTATTATTTGATCTCTGTTTTCTATTAAAAAAATTTTATTTTTTGCCCTAACCAGTTTGGCTCAGTGGATAGAGCACTGGCGAGTGGACTGAAGGGTCCCAGGTTCGATTCAGGTGAAAAGCATGTACCTTGGTTTAAGGCTCGATCGCCTATAGGGGCCGTGCAGGAGGCAGCTGATCGATGATTCTCTCTCATCGATGTTTCCATCTTTCTATCCTCTCCCTTTCTCTCTCTAAAAAATCAATTGAAATATTTTTAATTTTTTTTTTGTTAATCCTCACTCGAGGATATTTTTCTATTGATTTTTAGAGAGAGTGGAAGGGAGGGGGAGAGACAGAGAGAGAGAGAGAAACATTGATTGGTTGCTTCCCTCATGTGCTCCAGCCAGGGCTGGGGAACGAGCCTGCAACTGAAGTACGTGCCCTTTACGGAAATTGAACCTGGGTCCCTTAGTCCAAGGACTGACACTCTATCTATCAACTGAGCCAAACAATGTAGCGCCTATTTTTAATTTTTTTAATAGATTGGTAGCCTTGTGGAAGGGCAATTGCTAGATGGAAATTTAGGAAAGGCATTAATCTTACTTGACGTGACTAACTTATTTAAGAAAGACACTGAGCCGAAACCGGTTTGGCTCAGTGGATAGAGCGTTGGCTTGCGGACTGAAGGGTCCCGGGTTCGATTCCGGTCAAGGGCATGTACCTGGGTTGCGGGCCCTTCCTCTATGTAAAAAAATCAATAAAATATATTTTTTTAAAAAAAGAAAGACACTGAATAATCACTTGGGTCTTTACGAGTAAAACTCCTCTATTCTGGACATGGAAAGAATGAGGCTACAGACTGTACCAAAAAATCAGTCATCATATGGCTTTGGCTCCAGAATAAATGAAGTTTAATGGGTCCAGTCAACCTCTTGTCCTGAGGATACATTCGCTTTGAACATAGGCTTACTGCTGCCCTAGCCGGTTTGGCTCAGTGAATAGAATGTCAGCCTGCAGACCAAAGGGTCCCTGGTTTGATTCCGGTCAAGGGCACGTACCTCAGTTGCAGGCTCCTTCCCAGCCTGGGCCCTGGTCAGATGCGTGCAGGAGGCAATCAATTGATTAACCAGTTTGGCTCAGTGGATAGAGCACTGGCGAGTGGACTGAAGGGTCCCAGGTTCGATTCAGGTGAAAAGCATGTACCTTGGTTTCAGGCTCGATCGCCCATATCTTCCACTCTCTCTAAAAATCAATGGGAAAATATCCTCAAGTGAGGATAAACAGACAAACAAACAAACAAAAAACATATACTTACTGCCCATAGCACCCACTCCCACTCCCAGGCTCTGGTCCATGCCATAATAGTGACCTATGGAGAAATGGAATTGAACCAAACGATTATAGATATAGCACATGCATGCTATCACTTCTATTGTAGACTGCAAATTCTTACTTGACAATGGTGGTAGTATTTCCTTCTTTCAATGTGTGTAATTAACAGATGATGTCAGACAAGAGAAATGTCATCCTGTTTTCTATATTTGATGAGAACCGAAGCTGGTACCTCACAGAGAATATGCAGCGCTTCCTCCCCAATGCAGATGGAATGCAGCCCCAGGATCCAGACTTCCAAGTTTCCAACATCATGCACAGTAAGTAAAGCAGTGCCTGTCTAATGAGTAATAGACAAAGGGAAATTGAAGCCAAATTGATGTCCATATAGTGGATTGCTTTATCTGCCATGCAAGTCATAGTTCCTTAAAAATAATTATATACAAACATATACAATTTCATATAAATGCATAAGATCATAAAACATATTTATTTATTTAGAAAGCAACAAATATTCAGAGAACTTTTTTAAAGTTTTAAAAATATTTTTATTGATTTCAGAAAGGAAGGAGAGGGAGAGAGAGGTAGAAACGTCAATGATGAGAAACGTCAATTGATTAGCTGCCTCCTGCATGCCCCACATTGGGGAATGTGCCCTGATCGGAATCAAACCATAACCTCCTGGTTCATAGGTCGATGCTCAACTACTGAGCCACACCGGCCAGGCTGTCCTGCTTTTTTGAAACCCGTTAGTCCTTGAATCTGGAATATTAACAGATATTCATTTGGTTCACCTGATCAAATTTGTTTTTCTTTCTGATTTTTCCTCTGTCTGGTTACTCCTTTCCCCCTTGCAACTATAAGTAGTTTGGAGGGAGACACTTTGAGACCATGCAAATCCCCTGCTCCCCACCCACACCCCCATATAGCACTCAAAGCCATCTCTGCTGCCAAAACCGGTTTGGCTCAGTGGATAGAGCGTCGGCCTGCGGACTGAAGGGTCCCAGGTTCGATTCCGGGCAAGGGCATGTACCTGGGTTGCGGGTACATCTCCAGTGGGGGGTGTGCAGGAGGCAGCTGATCGATGTTTCTCTCTCATCGATGTTTCTAACTCTCTATCTCTCTCCCTTCCTCTCTGTAAAAAATCAATAAAATATATTAAAAAAAATAAAGCCATCTCTGCCATGATGGTCTATGACTCCCCTGCCCTTGGGATTAGGACCTAGCTGACCAAGTATTAACAATCGACTTTTCTGGAAGGTATAATGCTATCGCTTCTTGGACATAACCATCATTTCTAATCTTATCACAACAATCCAAACTAGTAAACCCTGATACTGCTAAAACCTCTTGTTCTCCATTTCTTTTGCAGGCATCAATGGTTATGTTTTTGATAGTTTGCAGCTGTCGATTTGCTTGCATGAGGTGGCTTACTGGTACATTCTAAGTGTTGGAGCACAGACTGACTTCCTTTCTGTCTTTTTCTCTGGATATACCTTCAAACACAAAACAGTCTTCGAAGACACACTTACCCTATTCCCGTTGTCTGGAGAAACTGTCTTCATGTCAATGGAAAACCCAGGTTAGTTATTTACATTATTCTTTTTTTAAAATATATTTCATTGATTTTTTACAGAGAGGAAGGGAGAGGGACAGAGAGTTAGAAACATCGATGAGAGAGAAACATCAATCAGCCGCCTCCTGCACACACCCCACTGGGGATGTGCCCGAAGCCAAGGTACATGCCTTTGACCGGAATCGAATCCGGGGCCCTTCAGTCGGCAGGCCAACACTCCATCCACTGAGCCAAACCGGTTAGGGCTGCATTATTCTTTTAGTAGCAGCTGTGGTTGCACCACTAGCCACTCATATGCTTTTTGGTCCACTGGCCCACATTTGGGCAGATATTAAGTGGTTCAAGTGATTTGGGGTAATTGCAAGGTATTTTAATGACAGCACCACAATAAGTTACTTAAAAGACTTTGCTCTAAAAACTACCTTTGGCCCAGCTGGTGTGGCTCAGTGTTGAGTGTTGACCTATGAACCAGGAGGTCACGGTTTGATTCTCGGTCAGGGCACATGCCCAGGTTGTGGGCTTGATCCTCAGTAGGGGGCGTGCAGGAGGCTGCTGATCAATGATTCTCTCTCGTCATTGATGTTTCTCTCTCCCTCTCTCTTCCTCTCTGAAATCAATAAAAAGCATATTTATATCATGTTTTGTAACCTTTTTTTCCCACTTAATATATTTGATACTTTTCTATACCAGTAAATATATATGAACATCATCATTAGAAAAGATTGCTTAATATTCCATACTAGGATATTGTACTAGCCTTGGCTGATTGAAGAGCTCTTGTCTTTTGAAGCCTGAAATGTGCTTGTACCTGCTGTGGTAGGCTAGGTTCTGTCTTTCTGGGTTACTTTGATAAGAACAAGTTCCAGGATTGATAACAGCTTACAAAATTAGCTTACTGAATCCCTGGTTATATTATTGAGGCACAAGGCTGATCTATATATTTGTAGTGCTGATCAAGTCTCAAACTTGCCCAGGCATTTTATGCCTGTGCCATAAGTTAGAGGAGAATGGCAGCTGAGTTTTCTTCAAGGAAATTATAATCCTTTTGTGCATCAGTGACTATATTTCCTTTTTTATTTCGAATTTTTTATATATGAAATTTCTTATTTTTATTTGGTCATTTATTTTATTGAGTTTTTCATTACCAAAGTCAACTCTTCTTTAAGCTGTTGGATTGAGATTTATTAACTAACTAGAGGCCCAGTGATAGGGTCCTGCACTGGTAGGGTCCCTAGTGGTTGCCAGCTGCTGGCCGGGGCCTCCCTCCCTTCTCCTGGCTGGCCCCACCGCCTGGTCGAACTCACGGGCGAACTCCTGGTCGAGGGGACAATTTGCATACTATGCTTTTATTATATAGGTTGATGTGTTAAATTTATTTTTACTCACATATGTATTTTTTTCACTTATGCTTATGCATCTACTTTACTACCATGAAATTCCTTCATTGGATAAACCTGGCCACAGTAGAAATTAATATTGCTAAAATTGTGGTGGGATTTGTATGTGTATTCTAATCCTAAGTCCTACTCCCTTGTGCTTATTTACTCTGCAAATTGGTGATGCTGTGGATGCTAGGCATTGTGTTATATGATTAGAATGCATTATATGATGAGCTAGATACTATTAGCCTCATTTATAAACTGGAAAACTAGAACTCAGAGAGCTCAATTGACTTGCTCTAAGTCACATAGCTGGTAAATTGTTGGGCTAGGATTTGAATCCAGGCAATCTGACTCTAGAACCTGTGCCACTATGTTATATAGTAATAACAGCTAGCCTATATAACCTTTCCTGAGTTAAGGCACTGTCATCATTAGCGCTCTGTGCGACTATTAAGACTCTCCACTATTGTGCATGCTAATTACATTTCTCCATTTTTATTCCAACATCTTTTCGCTTCTAATCACAACCCTTTCTTAATCACAAACAGATATACCACAACAGCAGCCATGCAAATCTCACTTTTGCTACCATTGCTAAACTACTGTTACAGGTTTAGAATACACATACCAATTACCTATAATGGTACCAACTAGTATTTTTTCATTCTTCTGGGAATAGGAGATACCCTCTAACACAAAACTAGCTTGGTACCTAGGTTATGAGTAACCAGTCTTATTCTTTCTCATCTCCAGGTCTGTGGGTTCTGGGATGCCACAACTCGGACTTTCGGAACAGAGGCATGACAGCCTTACTGAGGGTTTCTAATTGTAACAACAGAAACACTGGTGATTATTATGAGGATCAATATGAAGACATTCCAACTTCCTTGCTGAATGAAAATTATGTCATTGGACCCAGAAGCTTCTCCCGGAATTCAAGGCACCCTAGCACTAGGCAAAATCAATTTAGAGGCACTACAACTCTAGAAAATGATATGGAGAAGCTTGAGCTTTGGTCTGGAGAGAGAACACCGCTGCATGAAGTACAAAGTGTTTCCCCTGATGATTTGTTGATGCTCGTGGGACAGAACCCTACTCCACATGGATTATCCTTATCTGATCTCCAAGAAGCCACATATGAGGCTGATGATCATTTACCTGGACCAATAGAAAGAAACAAAGGCCTATCTGAAATGGCACATCTCAGGCCAGAACTCCAGAACAGTAGGGACAGAGTATTTACTCCTGAGCCAGAACTACAATTAAGATTAAACGAGAATTTGGGGTCAACTATAAAAGTAGACTCAAAGAAACTTGATTTAACAATTTCTAATTTATCAAGCAATCTACTGACTTTACCAACAATTCTGTCAGAAGAGTTGACAGCAGGTACTGAAAAGACAGGTTCCTTAGGACCCACAAATATGCCAGTTCACTTTCGTAATCAATTAGGCACCATTGTATTGGACAAAAATGCATCTCTCCTTATTGGGTCTGGTGAGCCTTTGGACTTAAGTAAGGGAGATAATGATTCCAAGTTGTTAGAAGCAGCTTTAATGAATAGTCAAGAAAGTTCACTAGGAGAACATGTATCATCAATGGAGAGTGATAGGTTATTTAAAGAGGAAAGAGTCCATGAACCTACTTCACTGACCAAAGATAATTCTTCATTGAAAATTAATGTCTCTTTAGTAAAGACAAACAAGGCACCAGTTATCTCAACAATGAATAGAAAGACTCACATTGATGGCCCAACATTATTAATTGAGAATAGTACATCAGTCTGGCAAGATATTACATTAAAAAGTAATGATGAGGTTCAAGAAGTGACTTCTTTGATTCCTGATGAAACGCTCATGGACAAAAATACTACAGCTTTGGGGCTAAATTATGTGTCAAATAAAACTACTTCACCAAAAAGTATGGAAATGGTCCACCATAAAAAAGAGGACTCTGTTCCAGTAGGTGCAGAAAATCCAGATACATCCATCTTGCCAGATTCAGCAAATTGGATGAAAAAGACCCATGACAAGAACTCCCTAAGCTCTGGACAGAGGCCTGATCCAAAGCAATTTATACCTTTAGGATCAGAAAAACCTGTGAATGGTCAGAATTTCTTGTCAGAGAAGAATAAAGTGGTAGTAGAGGAGGATGAGTTTACAAAGGACCAGGGACTCAAAGAGATGATTTCTCCAAACAGTAAAGGCATATTTTTTACTAACTTGACTAATAGCCAAGAAAACGATACACACAATCAAGCAAAACTATCCCAGGAAGAGAGAGGAATGAAGGAAAAATTAATCCAAGAGAACGTAGTTTTGCCTCACGTGTATACAGTGAATGGCACTAAAAAGTTGCTGAAGGACCTTTTCTTATTAAGCACTAAACAAAATGTAGACAGTTTAAATGAGGGCACATATACTCCAATACTTCAAGGCCCCAGGTCGTTAAATGATTCAGCAACTAGAGCAGGGATTCACATGACCCATTTCTCAAAAATAAGGGAGGAAGCAAACTTGGAAGGCTTGGGAAATCAAACAAAAGAAGTGACAGAGAAGTATCCAAGTCCTAATCCAAGTCCACAGAATGTTATTGCTCAGCGTGGTAAGCGGGATTTAAAACACTTTAGACTCCCAACAGAACAAATAAAGCTTCAAGGGGGTGTAATTTTGAATGATGCCTCAACCCAGTGGTCCAAAAACATGAAATATTTGGCCCAGGACACCGTCACACAGACAGAGTACCATGAGAAGAAGAAAAGGGCCATTACTCAGTCCCTCTTACCAGATTTTTCTATGAGAAGTCATGGCATCAATCAAACAGATGGGTCTGCATTACCCATTGTAAAGGCATCAGCATTTCCATCAATGAGACCTACAGATGTGACCAAGATCCCACCCCAAGACAACCCTTCTCATCTAGCACCAACCTATAGTTATACCTTTAGGGAAAGGAGTTCTGGAGTCCTAGAAAGCAGTCCTTTCTTACAAGGAGACAAAAGAAATCTCTCTTTAGCCTTCCTAATGGAAATGATGAGAGGTCAAGAAAATGTTAGCTCTCTGGGAGAAAGTGCTACAAACTCACTCATATACAAGAAACCTGAGGATCCTGTTCTCTTGAAACCAGGCTTGCCTGAAGCATCTGGCAAAGTGGAATCACTTCCTGAAGTTCATATTCATCAGGTAGACTCTTTGCCTACGAAAACTGGCAATGGTTCTCCTGGCCACGGGGATCTGGTAGAAGAGATCTTCCTTCAGAAAACACAGGACGCTGTTAAATTGAACAAAGTAAATGGACCTGGAAAAATGGCTTTTTCGAAATGGGCAGCCGAAAGCTCTGAAAAGACTCCCTCCAAGCTGCTAGATCTCTTCGCCTGGGATAATCAATTTGCTACCCAGATACCAAGAGAAGAGTGGAAATCCCAAGAGAAGTCACAACAAAACATAACTGTTAAGACAAAAGACACCATTTCACCCCTAGACCCTTACGAAAACAATCATTCAATAGCAGCAATAAACGAAAGACAAGATAAGCCCCAAAGCGAGGCCACCCGGGCAAAACAAGGCGGGACTGGAAGATTGGGCCTTCAAAATCCACCCGTCTTGAAACACCATCAAAGGGAAACAACCCCTATTCCTCTTCAGCCAGAGGAACATGACATTGACTATGATGATACCTTCTCAACGGAAACGAAGAGAGAGGATTTTGACATATATGGTGAGGATGAAAGTCAGGACCCTCGCAGCTTTCAAAAGAAGACACGACACTATTTTATTGCTGCAGTGGAGCAGCTCTGGGATTATGGATTGAGCAAATCCCCCCATGCACCAAGAAACAGGTATGGGTACGTTGATTATTCCTTGGTCCTGCTATGGTGACCTTTGATTTTACCAGATACTGAAACAATAGGAAAGGGACAGCCTATCTGCAGCAGTGTAACTCCAGATGGCTTTATAGAAGACTCTTGAGAACCAGATGGCAACGTCTAGAATTCAGCGGTTCTCAACCTGTGGGTCGCAACCCCTTTGTGGCAGTCGAACGACCCTTTCATAGGGGTCGCCTAAGACACTCAGAAAACACATATATAATTACATATTGTTTTTTGTGATGAATCACTATGCTTTAATTAGAAGTAGCAACGAAAATAATTTTATGGTTGGGGGTCACCACAACATGAGGAACTGTATTAAAGGGTCGCAGCATTAGGAAGGTTGAGAACCACTGGTCTAGATGAAGCTGAGGAGTAAATGGGAGGTTAGATGAGCCCAACAATGAAAGTTAGAGGATGGTAAATCCAGATGGCATGAAACTCGTACTCTGGTGGGATGGAGGAGAAGGAGAGGGGCTTACAGAAGGGTAGAAGTGTCAGAGTCAAGAAGCAGCAATGGAGAGTAGGGAGAAAGTCAACTTTATCAGCCTTATGAGCTGCCATAATAGTCACAGTGTCATGAGAGAGCCCTGAAGAGGCAGGAGGAAGAAGTGAAGTGTGTGACAAAAAAGTTGAGGATGTAGGAAAAGTTTTTCATGGTGCTTGGGGTACAGAGGGCAAAGTTAGGGGAACAGAAGGAGGTTGGGCAGGGAGAGAAAACAAATTTGGAAGGTAAACATAAGAGTTTATTGCAGTCATCAAATATTTATTGAGCACCTACTACATGGCAGACAATTTTGTAGGCATGAGTGCAACAAAGTAGGAGCTCACATTCTATTGGGGAGGGCAAAAGATAATAAATTAATAGAAAAATAAATAGGGGGTCTTGATGATGCTATTCAGAAGATAGAATTGAATAATATGATAGAGTAACACTGGGATGTTACTTTAGCTGTGGTGGTCAGAGAAATCCTTTATGGAGTTGAGACCTAAATGATGATAGACCAGCTCTAAGAGATGTGTCCACGCAAAGGGAACAGGAAGTGCAAAAGCCCTGAAACTGGGACATCCTTGTCCAGCCAGTATGGCTCGGTGGTTGAGCATTGATCTAGGAACCAGGAGTCACAGTTCAATTCCCGGTCAGGACACATGCCTAGGTTGCAGGCTCCATCCCCTGTGGGGAGTATGTGGGGGCAGCCGGTCAATGATTCTCTCTCATCATTGATGTGTCTATCTCTCTCTCCCTCTTCTTTCCTCTCTGAAATCAATAAATACTTTTTTAAAGGAAAAAAAGAAGGTGAGGTGTTTCTACACACCTGGTCCATAAAGATACTGCTTTTCTTCTGCTTTTGTCTTTAGGGCTCAGTTCAAGAAGGTGGTTTTCCAGGAATTTACTGATGGCTCCTTTACTCAGCCCTTATACCGTGGAGAACTGAATGAACACTTGGGACTCCTGGGGCCATGTATAAGAGCAGAAGTCGAAGACAATATCAGGGTGAGTTGAGGACAATGGAATCACAAGGAAATGAATCCTGTGTATTTTTTGTCTCTGAGTATACAAATAATGTATTATCATTTTTAAAAAAATATAGAAAATAAGTGGAAAAATAATCTCATAAATATCATTTTGGTGTATTTTTTTTCCTATGTATTCTATTTATATATTCAAAATTACACAATGTATAATTCTACTTCTATTTTGATTAAATATATCATAAACATTTCTAATGTCATTTAAAAATACTTCCTAAGTATATTTTTTAAGTGGTTGCATAATAGTCTATTACATGAATTTATGGTTTACTTAACCATGCACTTTGAATAACCCTATAATAGGTTTTTTTTCCACTATTTAAATAATGTTGCAATCACAACTTTTCCTAGGATAAAATTCTAAAAGTGAAATGTATGTGAACAGTTTTAGACTTTCTGTAACGAATGATTTCTTAATGTTCTTTGCACATTTGACAATTTTGGAGGCAGTGCTTTTCTTATTAATTTATACTACCTCATATATTATAGATCATTGATCATTTTAGTGAATAGTATTTTTCCAAGTTTGTTGTCTCTTAATTTTATATATAGTGGTTTTTTCATTAAAAACAGGAAGTAACCTATAATCCAGTGGTTCTCAACCTTCCTAATGCCACAACGCTTTAATACAGTTCCTCATGTTGTAGTGACCCAACCATAAAATTATTTTCGTTGCTACTTCATAACTGTAATGTTGCTACTGTTATGAATCGTAATGTAAATATCTGATATGCAGGATGTATTTTCATTGTTACAAATTGAACATAATTAAAGCATAGTGATTAATCACAAAACAATATGTAATTATATATGTGTTTTCTGTAGGTTTTAGGTGATCCCTGTGAAAGGGTCGTTTGACCACCAAAGGGGTCGTGACCCACAGGTTGAGAACTGCTGCTATAATCTTTTCTTTATGCTACTTCCATAGCTTTCATGTTTATAAAAATCCTTCCCCATACAGGGACTTTTTTCTTAAAATCACCTATTCTTGAACTTTCTTTTACAATTTAATTTCTTAAAAATTAAATTTTTAATCCATCAAAATTTCTATAGACAAAGTTATTATGATGCATTGTGGGAGCCAAAGGTCAAATTAGTTTTATTTTTCCCCCAAAATAGTCAATCATTGTCCCAATTGATGGTTTACATTAAGGATACAGAAGGATATAAAATTATGGGATGGTGCCTTGATTTGTATTTTACTTTTCATATGTCCTATGAAACATATATCATTTTTTTCAAATCTGAAAACCGAGCTTTTAAAAAGATTATGTGCATTCATCCTGACATTTGTCATGAGGAACCTTAAGTACCCAGTCGTGAGATTATGGTCTCTTTAGGAATTTCCTCCTTTGAGTCCATGCCTTAAAACATTATTAATTCAAAAATTCCTCAGCATTTCCTCTATAGATCTTTAGGTTTGGGTTCTTACAATAGCCATCCTATACCACTTTCTCTGGGTATTAAAACTTGGACAGAGCCAAAATAGGCATTACGATTACGGATGTAAATGCTACAATACTTGCATTCTTTTTCGGTTTTGCTCTGCAGGTAACTTTCAAAAACCAGGCCTCTCGTCCCTACTCCTTCTACTCCAGCCTTATTTCGTATGAGGAAGATCAGAGGCAAGGAACAGAACCTAGAAAAAAGTTTGTGGAGCCCAATGAAACCAGAATTTACTTTTGGAAAGTGCAACATCAGATGGCGCCCACTGCCGAGGAGTTTGACTGCAAAGCCTGGGCTTATTTTTCTGATGTTGATCTGGTAAGCAGGTCTACATTGTGCTGGCCACTTTCTGGTTTAAAAGAAATGGTCTTTGCAATATCTGCTAAGAATTTGGGTATTTATCCTAAGTATAATGGGAGGTTTTAAATAGGGAGAGGTAGCCCAACCGATGTGTCTCAATGGTTGAATGTCAACCCATGAACCAGGAGGTCACTGGTTAATTCCCAGTCAAGGGTACATGCCTGGTTGCAGGCTCAATCCCCAGTGTGGGGCCTGCAGCAGGCAGCTGATCCATGATTCTCTCTCATAATTGATGCTTCTCTCTCTCTCTCCCTCCCTCCCTCCCTCTCCCTCTCCCTTCCTCTCTCTAAAATCAACAAAGACATATTAAATTTTTTTAAATGTATTTTTATTGATTTCAGAGAGGAAGGGAGAGAGAGAGAGAAACATCAATGATGAGAGAGAATCATGGATTGGCTGCCTCCTGCACACCGCCCACTGGGGACCGAGCCCACAACCAGGGCATGTGTCCTGACTGGGAACTGAACGGTTACTCTCTATCCCTCTCCCTTCCTCTCTGTAAAAAAATCAATAAAATATATTTTTAAAAAATAAAAATAAAAATGAATAAGAGGAGGTAGCATCATATTTGTGCTTTAGAAATGCTATTCTGGAATCTACCGAGGAGGATGAATCATACTGTGGGAAGATGGGGAGTAGATTGGAGTGGCATAAAAGTTGATGAGAAACCTACGCTGGTTTAGAGGTGGGGGAGCTTATACTCACAGAATTGGTGTCTTCCCTCTCAGGAGAAGGATATGCATTCGGGCTTGATTGGACCGCTTCTGATCTGCCGCGCCAACACTCTGAACCCTGCTCATGGGCGACAAGTGACAGTGCGGGAATTTGCTCTGCTTTTCACTATTTTTGATGAGACCAAGAGCTGGTACTTCACTGAAAACATGGAAAGGAACTGCAGAGCTCCCTGCGATATCCGGATGGAGGACCCTGCCTTTAAAGAAAAGTATCGCTTCCATGGTAATGTATCCCACGCCCAAATATATCCCACGCTCACTGTGAAAAGCAGCATGCACTATGACAAAGGAGCCTCGAGCCTGAGGCTTGGACACTGTATGAACTGAGAGTGTGTGTGTGGGAGTGGAATCTTCAAAGAATCAATATTTTTAACTGGGGTGGAGGAAAAGAAAGTTCTAGCTTGGCCGGCGTGGCTCAGCGGTTGAGTGTCAACCTATGAACCAGGAGGTCATGGTTCAATTCCCAGCGTGCAGGAGGCAGCCCCATCAATGATTCCCTCTCATCATTGATGCTTCTATCTCTCTCTCTCCCTCTCCCTTCCTCTCTGCAATCAATAAAACATACTTTAAAAAAAAAGAAACTTTAATAGATTTTAACAGCCTTCTCTGTTCTCCTTCTCCAGCGATCAATGGCTATGTGATGGATACTCTACCTGGCTTAGTAATGGCTCATGATCAAAGGATCCGATGGTATCTGCTCAGCATGGGCAGCAATGAAAACATCCATTCTATTCATTTCAGTGGACATGTCTTCACTGTAAGGAAAAAAAAGGAGTACAAAATGGCAGTCTACAACCTCTATCCAGGTATGGGCTGGTTTGTGCTCTTTCTTCTACCTTCTGTACTTATTGTATACTAGAGGCCCAATGCACGAAATTTGTGCAAGGGGCTCGGCCCTCACAGCCCTGGCTTCATCTGGAAGGTCATCTGGAAGGATGTCCGGAAGGTCATTCAGCTGTCTGGTTTAATTAGCATTTTACAGTTTTATTATTATAGATTTACTTGAAATGGTCTAGGCACTGGGGATAGGATCAGTGAAAAAAGCAGGAAAACTTCCTGTTCATGGGTAACTTACTTTTTCAAGTAACTTTACCCTACAGAAAGATAATAAATAAGTTCGTAAGTGAATATGATAATTTCAGATACAGATAATGTGCTATAAAGGAAATAGAATAGAATAAATGGATAGTTAATGGCATAGTACGTTCCTAGGAAAAGAGAGATTTTTTTTCCATCTCAAATCCCACATATGGCACCAGTAGTTATCCAAGAAGTGACTTGTTTATGTCTGTTACCAATATGTTAACTACTACTTACAATGTTGATCAAAGCACAACTTCATGTTAGTTCTCCACTGTCCCTTTAAAACAGGTTTAATAGTAGGAATAAACTTGCCCCATTTTTGCATAAAACTTCCGATAGGACCAGTGACTTTTCTGCTTCACTCTTACCTTTTTTAGGTATGATTTTATTGATTTTTTTATTTTATTTTAGAGAGAGATAGAGGAAGGGAGAGGGAGAGAGATAGAAACATTATTGATTGATAAACATTGATCAGCTGCTTCCTGCACACTCCCTACTGGGGATCAAGCCCACAAACTGGGCAGGCATATATCCTAACCGGGAATCAAACTAATGATCTCTTGGTGCATGGGATTGCGCTCAATCCACTGAGCAACACTGGCGGGGCCACTCTTATCCTATACAGTAGGTCCTCGAGTTACGTCGGAAGTCCATTCCTACGGCTCGACATAATGTAAATGGGAGATGGCGACGTAACCACGAAACGACGTACGTCGAGTCCAATGTAACCCGAGGACTGCCTCTAATAAAAGGCTAATATGCAAGTCGACCGAATGGCAGAATGACTGGTGCTATGATGTGCACTGACCACCGTGGGGCAGATGCTCAACGCAGAAGCTGCCCCCTGGTGGTCAGTGAGCTCCCACAGGGGGAGCACCGCTCAACCAGAAGCCGGGCTCACCGCCAGTGAGTGCAGAAGCCTCTCCCGCCTCCACAGCAGCACTAAGGATGTCTGACTGCCAGAGAGAGAGGAACATCAATGATGAGAGAAAAACATCTATCAGCTGCCTCCTGCATGCCCCACACTGGGGATGGAGCCCACAACCTGGGCACGTGCCCTGACTGGGAATCGAACCCTGACCTTCTGCTTCATAGGTCGACGCTCAACCACTGAACCACACCAGCTGGGCTACCTGGAAGATATTTAAAACTGACTCTTCTTGCTGGAGACTTCCAGGGGGCTCTTTTGGGGACCCTCTTTCATGAAATCCCCTTGACCTGGTTGGTTGGTTCCATCTTCACCCGAGGTGATTGCTCACTCATTCCTCAGGCCCTCAGCATGCACTTCCAGCTCTCTGCTGATGGGGTTACTTTAGCACTCAAGGCAGCTCCAGTGGGTTACACCTGGGAGGACCTCCCTGACTTTTCTCTCCCAGGGAGCCGGCATCTGGTCAATGAGAAACACACCTGTGGCTCTGAAAACCCCGAGTACAGGCCTATGCAGTAGCTTCCTTCCGTCTCTACCATCAAAGCATCCTGTTGCCCTCTCTCCCCTTTCCCAGGGTGGCAGGCTGTCAGAACTCAGTCTCCAGGCCCTGGCCGGCTAGCTCAGTTGGTTAGAGCATCGTCCCGTTACGCCAGGTTTTGGGGTTCAGTCCCTGGTCAGGGCACATAGAAGAATCAACCAATGAGTGCATAAATAAGTGGAACAATAAGTGTGTGTGTCTCTCTCTCATAAATAAATATGTTTTTTTAAAAAAAGGACTCAATCTCCAGTGCTCCCAAATAGGGATCTGATAGCAAGCACTTTGGGTTTCAGGATCTATCGGTGGTGGAATTGACTTAGATAGATCTCTGTTGATATTCTGCATAAGCCAATGTATCTCATGCTCATTTTTTAGTGAAAAAATGTTTTTGTTCCTTTTGTTTTTTATAAGGGGTTTTTGAGACAGTGGAAATGCTACCATCCAAAGTTGGAATTTGGCGGATAGAATGCCTTATTGGCGAACACCTGCAAGCTGGGATGAGCACTCTTTTCCTGGTGTACAACAAGCGTGAGTAGCAAGCCTGTGGATTTGGGTATCTGCAGGAGGTCCTGTAACCAATCCCCTACAGATACCGAGGGACAACTGTATGTATTTAGAGTGACTAACTGAATATGCATTTTTAAAATGATAAATAATGGTAATATTATGTGTAATGTGATGTACATATGTTTAATGTACATTAGCCAGATCAATGCCATATTCACTTCTATATTTAGTCTTGAGTGGTTAAAGGGAATTTCCATCTTTTTCTGATCCACAAATTATTGTTAACCCGAAATAAGTTATTCTAGAAAAGAAAATATCCTTTGCACCTTTGCACAGGAGACTCTATTATAATTGTAAATTCTGAATTCAAATGGATTAAAAATTTCTTTTTTTTTTTTTTTTTTTTT